CCCCCCCGCGTCGATCATCACAACTTCATCAGTCCGACCGGGACGACGGAGGGATGCACACACGTCGTAAACTACCACATTACTTATTTGAATGGGGGGAAATTACACGCATGAGCGGCGGCGTGGAGGCGTGTCTACACGCGGATAGGTAAAGCGTCTAGTTTGTTTCGGGAGATGTATTTATGAGGACGATGAGGGAGCAGGGTGGGGGCTCAAAGCAGCTTACATCACCCGCCACCACCAGCAGCAGCAGCAGCAGGCACGCGGCCGGAAGTGCAGAAAGGTGCGAAGCAGGTTTCTCGAGACGACACATTCATTATACAAATAGCATTTGCCCGCACGGGGGGCGGCTACTACTTTCACTGCTGCTGCTATAAGGTCAACGCGATCAGCCGTGCTGGTTTCTGCGGCTTGTATTTTTTTTCAGACGACTTGTTTAACAAAAGCGAGACCGTCCCTCTCTTTCCTTTCCATATCTCTCTCTCCCTCTCTGCCTCTCTCTCTCTCTCTCCCTCTCTCTCTCTCGCTCCCTCTCCCCCCCCCCCCTTTAACTCTACGCCGTCCCGAATCAGCGTCGGTTCAATACAACACGACGACGTCAAGGCCCTGCCGCTGTCATCCCTAGAAACGCGCGTTTTCAAGAGATGGAAATGTCAGTCTGAAGGGCGAACTAGTCCGCTCGGACTGTTCTGCTGTGAAGCGGAAGAAGGGGATAACTTGACTTAACACCAAACTGAGATTTTGATGGCATATTATTGTACATTATAATCTGCATTTGTCCACCAAAGGGTTTGGGGATATGTCCCATAGAAAGGGAGATATAGGGGTTTGTAAAAGGAGCTAACTCGACTTGACTTGTTTGGCAGAATAGTTGTCACGTACCCGAAGAGCACAAAAGGGGCTAAGTTTACTTGACCCTAAAATCATCGGAATTTCTCAAGAAGCAAATGGAGTTAAGTCTACTTAACTCTTTTTGCCAACTGGATTTTGTTGGTGACATGTCGACTTATCCCCTTTTGCAACTAATTAAAAACATCAAAAGATATAGAGAAAATAGTGACAATAAAGGCCTTATTATAACGGACATGTACTTCAGTCATAGTTAGAGTCTATAAAGAGTCGACTTGACTCGTTTTGCATGCCCACCTCAACAAAGTTAAGTCAACTTAGCTCTTTTTTCCAAATTTTCAATGACTTGACTCTAAATTCTCAGCATGCAAAAAGAGTCAAGTTGACCTGTCTCGGTATGTCAATAATAGTAATAAGAGTTAAGTCCTATATCTCAGTGAAGAGGCGTGATATTGAAAAAGTTCAAAGTGCTAGCTATATCCTTGGTAGAAGTACATTCTATCTGCATCATAACATTTTTGAAAAGTTACATGCAAATAGTTTTTTGCATTTCCTGAAAACCTTGGTTTTTTGACTTGACCCCTTATTCCGCTTCACAGCAGTGTTGCAGTGTGTGGGAGTGGGAGTGCGTGGGGGCCGCGCCCTTGGCTCCGCTGTCACTCTATTTTGGGGGATTAAAGAAACAGCAGCATGAATTCGCCAGAAAATTACGGTTTGTAAGAGTTCCAATGTACCTCCACACGTCACGCTCATGCGCTCGCGCTCGGTCCGCCACACTTTTTCAACTTGGGAATAAAATCTGTCAATCTCTTGACGCGAGGTCGTGCCTGCTATGCGACTCGTGCCGTGCCTGGCTGCACCGCGTGGGCACCCTGCCAGAAGGACTCTCCCCCGCCAGCTGGTCGTTGATCCGCTCGGGTCGCGACTCATTGGATACTCTTTACTTATTGTAACAGAGTTGTCAATTTTCTACATATTGTGAAACTGTTTGAAATTGTTCAAGAAAAATTTCTGAAAAATTTCAAAAATTGTTGAATAATTTTTACATTTCATTAATAAAGTTTTGGTAATTGTTTAATGTTAATGAAAAATTTCACGCGTTACATCTCTCTAGTCTGGAGAGA